TGATTCCATATGGGACTAACATTATGAAACGGAGGAATGAACATATTGTCTACCCCAGTTACTCTAACATTCTCTCCCATGGCCTATCCTTAATTAGAGTATGTGCGTATATTAAATGGGTCATCTAAAAAGATTCGGAGGAAGTATGACATTAATCAAACAAAAATAATAACAATTAATTGGAAAAATTGCGAGGAAGGTCTTTTTAAGTGGTCGACCTTGTGAGGAAGGTCCTTTTATGAAAAAGGTGGCACAAAAAGTCCTTTTATGGCGATTGAGTTGTGAGGAGGGTCTTTTGACCAAACTCCGGCGTTGACCTGCGTTCACTACAAGAAATAGGCTGATTTTCGACGGACTGTTTCCGACGAACACGTATTTCCGTCGGAAAAATCAGACATTCCGACGAAGTTTAAATATTCGTTCGAAATTTCCGACGAAATAAAAATCCGTCGGAATATATGGATTTCTAACGGAATATTTTGTCCGAAATTAATTTTCCGGCGGAATATTCCGTTGGAATCTAATTTTAAAAAAAAAAGCAGGAAACCCTAAACCAAAAACCGCCTCTTTATTTCCCTTTTCTCCTTCTCTTTCTCTCTCCTCTCCTATTCTCTTCTCCTTCCTCTTCGTTCTCCTTCTCTTTCCTCTTCTCCCTCCTCGTCTTTTCTCTGTCCTTCTCTCTCCTGTTCTCTTTCCTCTTCTCCTTCCTCTGTTCTCTCGTCCTCTTCTCCTTCCTCTGTTATCTCTCCTGTTCTCTTTCCTCTTCTCTATTTCTTCTTCTTCTCCGATTCTCTCTCCTCTACTCCTCTTCGCCGATTCCACCATCGCGAGCCAACAACGATGCAACAACAACAAAGCCGCCAACAACAACGGCCCAACAACAAAAAAGCCAACAACAACCATCGCGAGCCAACAACCACCATCGCGAGCCAACAACCACCGTCAAGAGTGTAGATCTAGTTATTTTTAATTTGTATGTAATTGTAATGTTAAGTTTATAAATGATTGTTTTGTGTAGTATTTTTTTACTATGTTGTGTTAATTTTTGGATTTTTTGGGCTTTTCGTCCTTCTGGGATTAATTTCGGTTTGCAGGGTTTATTTTTGGAATGGTGGTAGTGTGTAGTGATGTCAATGGTGGTAGGGTGGGGGCGGGTGTGAGTTTGGTGCTGGGTAAGTTAATGGTTGGGGTGGTTTCGGTTTGGTGTGGGTGGGGTGTGGGTGGGGTGGTTTCTGTGAGGGTTTTGGTGGGTGGTGAGGTGGGGTCTGGTGGGTTAGGGGGTGGCGGTGGGGTGGGTTGGGGTGGTGAGCAGGGGTGTGGGCAGTGGTGGATCTGGGTGGGGTTAGGGGTGGGGGTGGGGCTGTTTTTTGTTTTTTTTTTTATTGACTTTTTCGACGGAAAATCTTTCAAACTTCGACGGAAATTTCCGTTGGAAAATTGCGACGGAATTTCAATTAAAGTCAAAAAAGCGCCGACAGAAATAAATCCGTCGGAAATTCCGTTGGAAACTAGCCTTCTGACGGAAATTCCGTCGGAAAAGGTCGAATTTCCTACAAAGGGTTTTGCGACAAACTGATTTAGATGGAATTTCGTCGGAAGACCGTTTTCCCACGGATTTTCCGATGTTTTCGACAGATTTCCGTCGGAATCAAGCTGTTTTCTTGTAGTGGTTTTCCGGCCAAAAAAAGTCACGTTCAGCGCACGTGACCACATAAATCAGATTTTTTTTTTCTTTTTTTAATTCACCTCCTCCCACCTCCCTTCCATGGTTACCTCCTGAACTGCCATCCAAACCACCACCACCTCCTCAACTCCTTACTCATCACCAGCCACCACTCGCCCGGCCACTACCAACCGCAACCCCACCAGCTAGAAACACCTTTCCATTCCTCTACCAGCAATCCCCTAACACCCACGTACCCTCTAGCAGCATCTAAGGTCGAAAACCATGACTTCTTTCTTGCGAACAGGTTAATCCACCATCCGAACCACATTAGTTACAACTCCAACCCCTCCCCCGCCCCAACCTTAGCTGAAACCCAACCCCATTTGACACTACTAGAAATAGGTCTATTTCCGACGGACAGTTTCCGACGGACATGAATTTCCGTCGGAAAAATAAGAAATTCCGACGAATTTTCTATTTCGTAGGAATTCCGTAGGAAATTTTCGACGGAATATATATCCGTAGGAAAATAAAGGATTTCCGACGGATTATTCCGTCGAAACGTTAAATTTCCAACGGAAACAAAGTCCGTCAGAGATTTCCGACGGATTTTTCCATCGGAATATCGAACTTCCTACCGAACTAAAATCCGTCGGAAACTTCCGATGGAATTTTCCGTCGGAACATAATTTTCCGTCGGAATTCAGTTTAAAAAAAATAACAAACAAAACAAAACAAAACCCTACATTTAAAAATCGGATCTTCCTATTTTCTCACTCCTCTACTCCGCCTCTTTCCCTTCTCCCTCTTTCTCCTTCTCCCTCCTCTCCTCTTTCCCTTCTCTTCTCACGCACCGTCGTGGTCCTCGCCCTTCTCTCCTCCGTTTCTACTTTTGCATCCTCTCATCTCCTCGCCCTTCTCCCTCCTCTCCTCGCCCTCCTCTATCTTCTCACATTTCTCTTCTCCTCTCTCATTCTCTCTCCTCGACCTCCTCTGCTAACGCACCGTCGTGGTCACGCACCACCACCAGCAGCATCGTCGTGCTCATGCACCACTGTCATCCTCACGCATCACCGTCGTACCACTCTAATTACAATTTAACGGTTTTTTTTGTTCAAACTCGACCTTGAAAATTCCAGATCTAGAATTTTCATGGTCGAGTTTGACCATTTAAACCCAACAAAAATGAAATTTCAAAAAGTATGTTTATTTTTATTTTGTATTGTGAGGTAATTTTGAATTTCTGAGTTTTTTTTTGCTGATTTTGATTTTTGTATATTCAATTTTTCGTTTGAGTATTAGATCTGTTTTTTTTGTATTTTTTTTATATTGATTTTGTATATTCAATTTTGTATTATACAATCTGGTTCCGTTTTTTGTTTTTTTAATGAATTTTCTTTTTTTTTTATTTATTCTGGGTGAAGGTGGTTGGGTGGTGTGGGGTTAGGCGTGCTGTGGGTGTGCATGGATGCGTTGGAGGTGGTTAGGCGTGGTGGTGGATGTGGGCGTGGGCCGGTTTGGGCTGGTGTAAGTGGTGTTGAAAAGGGTTAAGGGTGTGGCCTGGGTGGGTTACGGTGGTGGGGGTTGGTTGATGTGGGAAGTGGTGGGTGGTGGGTTAGGGGGTGGCAGTGGGTTAGGGGTTGGTGGGGCAGTGGGTTAGGGGTGGTGGGTGTGGGCAGTGGGTTAGGGGTGGTGGGTGTGGGCAGTGGGTTAGGGGTGAGGGTGGGGGGCTTTTTTTTTTTTTAATTTTTCCGACGGAATTTTTCATCGGAAAATACCGCCTTCGACGGAAAATTCCGTCGGAACATCTACCCCTCCGACGGAAATTTCTGTCGGAACATATCCCACTCCGACGGAAATTTCCGTCGGAAACTTGCGACGGATTTTCACTGAAAGTCAACAAAAGCGCCGACAGAACAAAATCCGTCGGAGATTCCGTCGGAATAGACCTTTCCGACGGACTATCGCAAAATACCTACAAAGGGTCATCCGACAATGCTTTCCGACGGAATTCTGTCGGAAATGAGCATTTCCGACGGAATTTCCGGGTTTTCCAACGGATTTTTTCCGTCGTTGATTAACTTTTTTCTAGTAGTGTGAAACGCTAACCCTCACCTGAACTGAACACCATCACCCAAAACCATATTTGCTTGATTAAATTTGCGAATAAACACAGAAAAATGCACGATTATTTAAGAGGAAAATAACTGAAATCGACAATTCTAAGACTACATTGGCGGAATGCGATTTAAATTATTTCTATTTGAATGAAATAGTAAGGAAAAAGGAAATGACCACTCTGATTTGAATAATCAGATGAAAGATCCAACGACCATGAAATAGTAAGGACGCTTTTGATTGATTGAATCAATCCAACAGCCATGATTGAGCTTAAACCATTGATGATGATGCATGGTGTTGATGAAGTGCAGCAACCAAAGGAGGTGAATTCTGATTGAACTTAAATCAGAATTGTAAGGGAAAAAGGAAACCAAGGAAGAAGAGGGATAGGTAAAAAAAAAATCTGATTTAAGTGGTCACGTGCGCATCACGTGACTTTTTTTGGTCGGAAAACGCAGGTCAACACCGGAGTTTGGTCAAAAGACCCTCCTCACAACCCAATAGTCATAAAAGGACCTTTTGTGCCACCTTTTTCATAAAAGGATCTTCCTCACAAGGTCGACCACTTAAAAGGACTTTCCTCGCAATTTTTCCTATTTAATTTTATATATGATATTATTGGCGGTCAAAGTAAAATATGGAGATATTATTATTATTACTTACCCGAGATGATAATTTCTAATTCCATTATACAAGTAAAATGTGTACTCAAATCTAAATTAGTATAACAAGTTAAACGATTAACAAGGAATAATTCAATGAATATATCTTCTATATATCATGAAACGGAGTACCAAATACTAATCAAGAAATTACATTTATTGTTTCTTGATCTTGATAACCGACTTAACTAATTGAAGTAACAAGTCTATATAACTACTCATTCCAAGAAAACTCTGTTTACATTCTACATAATCATCCCTTTATTATACTTAAAGCATTCCTTCATTACTAAATACATTCTCCATTAATTTCAAAAAAAAAAAAAAAAAAAAAGAAAAAAAAAGAAAAGAGCATTCTCCATTAATTTCAAGATTTCTATGTTTTTTACATAATCATCCCTTTATTAGAATTCTTCCTTCATCAATAATTCCAAGATTTCTCTGTTTTTTTCTACAACATAATCCCTTCCTTAATAAATCATCAGAAAACAACCTTAGCTTTTTTGTCATCTCATCAATACCAAATCTTCTGTTTGCTCAATTAATCAGTAATGCCTGCTTGGAGCTCTTCGAGTTCTTCGAGTTCATCAGAATCATCAGACACAGACGATTACAGTGTTGTGGTGGAGCACTGTCCGAGAGGGCGATACGTAAGGTACAACAGTACCATAGCCAAAGGTGCCACGGAAACAGTTTATAAGGGGTTCGATAAGCTTTCTGGTAAAGAAATCGCTTGGTGTAAGACAACGGAGTTGACAGACGACGAATTGATTCACAAATTATATACATGTACTCTGTTACAGCAGTCACTAGACCATGAGAATGTAATTAAATGCTACAAATGTTGGCGAGATCGTTCAAGTGCTAAAATCCTTAACATCATTACCGAGTCTTTTACCTCCGATTTGAGAGATTACATCGACAAACATACTCTTGTGCATATTAGTACTGCGATCAAGATTTGGTGTCGACAGATTTTAAATGCGTTGTATTATCTTCACAATCGTACTATACCGATGATTCATCATGATGTCAAGATTGACAACATCTTTGTTATTGGAGAGTTGGGCATGGTTAAGCTTGGATATTTTGGTCACGCATTTCCATTTCGACGTGTGAGAAGGGGTACTTGCGATGCTGGTATATCAGAAACTATGGCACCTGATGTTTTCGAGCAAGATTATACTGAGAAGATTGATGTATACTCGCTTGGGATGACTGTATTACAGATAGTGACTAAGGAAAAGCTGTACAGCGTATGCAATGATAACACGGAAATGGTTTGCGAAATGATTAAGAATTGTAAACTACCTGCTGCGCTGAATGATGTCAGAGACTTATATATTAGGAGATTCATTGATAAGTGTATAAGTCCTGTTTCTGAGAGACCCGCGACAATTGAACTTCTGAAGGACGGATTTCTTGCAAACGGGACGATGTTCCTGAAAGATTGACAGCATGTAGTAGTACTACTAGTATTCAGATTCTGAGAGAATCTGTGCGTGTTCAGGTGGTAAGATTACTACAGCAGCAGCCGCCTGCTGAATCATTAGGTATGGAACCAGAGAAGGAAGAGTTTGACAATGAGGGTGAGACATTTGGGTCACAAGGGGGAACGTCTGAGACTGATTCTGAAACATCCAGATCGCGTAATGTTTCTCCATCTAGACCTCCTACGGAGCCAGAGACAGAAGTTCCTGAAACATCGACTGCTGCATCACTATCTAAGGAACAAGAGGAGGAAGAGGAAGAGGATGAGACACCTCTGTTACGAAGGAAAACAACAGGCAATGTTGAGCGTGGGGGTGAGACATTGGGGTTACAAGGGGGGACGTCTGAGACTGTTTTGCCATCTAGGACACACGAGACATCTGACTGATCAACAAGATCAGACAAGCCACATGGATTGATACTTAGTTGGTTTGGGATGATGTCATGCTTTATTTTGCTGCAACAGATGAAGAAATTTAAGATCAATATGGTTTTTTAGTAGTAAAGTACAATTTTCACAATATTTTGTTGCATTTTAGATACTTATTAGTCTCAATTAGTATGATTGCTAGAATTTAGGCATTTTACTTCTAAGTCCTAACTAGTGTTGGCACTTGGCAGGGGAGTTGAAGTACTCTTTCAATCTTTCGTTGATTTGTTTTATTGGTTGTCATTTGTAAATGTTTGTTTTTGATTTAATTAAGAACATTAATGACTATATATAGAACTACTGTAATGTAGGCAATTGCTATGAATATTAGTCAATTGAGTGTTCAGCTTGTGTTAAAATGGAGTAGTAGTGTTTTCTTGAACCACACATAGTCATATTGTTAGAATCCGCCTCTTTCTCTATGTATCCCCCCTTCCTTTTCCTTTTATTTTCCTTATGTATTGTCTTCTAAGTCTTTCTTTATGCTTTCTAGGATCTAGGGAGAATTAATGTGTTACCGTAATTTCAGTGTTCACTAGTAATTCTCTATGTAATCAATATAAAGCTCTTTAGGGAGCGAATGGTTGAATAAATAAAAGCTCCTATCCCGGTTGCCTATTGCTTTAAGACTTGTGTGTTGATTTAAGCCTTTATAGATATTGTGCTTGCCTTGTTTTAAAGCATCCCCTCCAAACCAAGAGAACCTCAAAAGACGCCTTCATTGTCGTCGGTACCGCTTGAGCCCGCTTCGAAATATCGGTCGTCACAAGCCCCGACTCCGCACTCGTTGTTGATGAGATACCTTTGGTCCGTGTTACTGTGCGCTCACAAACCCTTTCCGTTCTAGGCTTGCGTCCTTGTGTCAGAACGATCCGGTGTCAGAACGCGTCGTACGATCCGGTGTCAAAACTCTTGGACCGTGACACATACATTCCAAATCCAAGCCAAGGCCTAATTAAATGTAACAATAGGCGTAACAGAATTGTGCATGAACTCGAAAGCAGCTAACAAAGTAAGGAGTACGTACATTCATTCACATTAATGTTTCACGTTTTAATGAATATAGGTAGTTGGTGAATTATTTACACAAGATGTTCATCAATCAAGCATATTAGGTTCTAATAGAATTGTTCGTGAACACGTTTTAGATTAAAAGTTCACTAGTACTCCGTGATTAATAGCTAGGACCATTTCGAATTCTTCTAATGAACACCACCCATACCACAAGTTAACTAGTACTCCGTAGTTAGATGCATGGTTCTAATTGCCTAATTCGGTTGTGTTTGGGTAAAAAGACTTTCAAATTGATTCAACATTGGTCTAATATCAATTAATATATAATAGATAAATAAATAAAAATTTATTTATACTACGGATCACTTTCCAACATGAGGCAAAAAAAAATATTTGTGAACTTGCCTGTTAAATAAATATTTTGCACTTTACCTCCCACAAATAACTCACCTTTTGATACTACCACCTATGAAAAACAAAAAAACCCCTAAACTCACCACCTTTTGCCTAATTCCTGCAAAGCATTTTAGCTCTTATGAGTTGCGTAGTTTGATTTGGAATAAAATCCTACTAATGTCTTCTCTACAAAAAAAAAAAAAAAAAAAAAAAAAAAAAAAAAAAAAAAAAAAAAAAAAAAAAATAAAATTAATAATAAAAAAACAAAACTTTTGCCTAATTCTGGTGAAAAATCCGGTTTGTGGGCCCACTTTTTAAATTTCCCCCTTCCACGATTTCCCTCTACTCTACTTTCATTTAATTTTTTATCATATAACATTAAATCAAAGTCAATTTCTTCAGCCTCCCAACAATTAATGAAAGCAAATCCTAAGTTTTTTTTCTTCCTCATCAACATCTTCATAACTAGTTGTGTCTCTGTCCTTGCAAAGTTCTCTCTGTTACCCGCCTTTTCGAAAAAAAGTGGAAGCAGAAGGACAAGTCACCATCTTTGTAGTTGAGGGATCTAGAAGGCGGGTGTGGAGCTGATGTTAAGGTGGACACCAAAAAGGAGAAATATGTAAGCAATTTTGGAATTATTGAAACTTTAAACTTGTGGATTGATGTATTTTTGCAATTTTGGTAAATATCGGGGTTCATTGTTAAATTACGCTTAACCCTAGAAAAATCAACCTTGATTATTATATGATTCTTTTATTAAAACTAAATTTCAGTGAATTATAATTTAATTAACAATGTCAATTTACTATTTGAGTATTGGGGAAATAGTGTAATTAAAAATTGCTTTCCATGTTTGCGTCAGATTATTTGTAATTGGGGTAATATTTAATTGGAGATTCTTTATTCTAAGATTTAGTGTTTAAATATTGTGTTATGCTTTGTAATTACTGTCTCGTTACTTTATTATTGTTGTGTCATGCACATGTGAATATCAATATTTAATCTTGACTAAATAAACTTAACTGGTATTGCAAATATATGAATAAGACTTGCCCTTCTCTTGTAAATTGAACAGATGGATGATGATGTTGAAATGTTGAATATGTGGATATTAAGGTTAGGACAAGTGGTGGGTTTCTTTGGAAAAAATGGGGACTTTTCGATCCAACTTCTTAGAGAAGCCTGTATTTGGGGATTTGTGAAGTTAGATTTGCATGTGCCAAGATTGTGGAATATTTGGTATATATAAAAAAAAAAAAAAAATAATAAGGGAAAACCTTGGTCAACTGGTAAAAGAGAAGTTGTAAATAATTATGAAGTGAAGGGCTTTTTTGGAGACAAAGAATAGGTATGAGTATGTAGAAATCTTTTGTACTAGTCATGAAAGGCTTAGAAAAGTTAGTGAAGAATCCATTACTGTACAACCAACACAAAGTAGTCAAAACAATGTTAAAAAGGCCACAAAATTAAGAACAAACTCTAGGTCTTAACACTAACTATTAAAGTCCTGGGAGAGACAGAAAGTAAGCAAGGTGGAAATAAGGTTGGAGACAGTCCTACTGCAAAGAGTGTACAAGAAAAAAGAGAAGGGCTTGTTGATAGAGAATGTGAAAGGAAAAAAGAAGCGAGATGAAGAGGAAGGGCCATCTTCAAAGGTTGTAAAGGTAAAAGGGCAAGAAAAAGAAATGGAAAAGAGAAAGAGAGAAAAAAAAAAGAATGCTTCTGTTAGAAACAGATATCGGATCTAGTTCATCAAGTTCTGATTGTAGTGACATAGATATAGATGGGAGTCAAGGGAAGAGCATGGGGATGAAAGTTACATAGGTATTAATAACACTAGCAGCATCATATATATTAGGGGAGGTGAATGCTTGTCTTAAGAATGTGCATAGTCATGATAGGGATGAGTATCATGAGGATGGGGTTGAGAGGAATGTGGTGAAGAAGTCAATGCTTAACAATAAACTTGTGAGCAAAGAAATGATATTAGAGAATGAGTTTAGTTTTAATTTTGAAGATTTGCACTGCCTTAAAGGATTTATGATGAGCAAGATAGCAGTCTATGGTTTCATGCTATAACTTCAAGAAGTCTATCCAATTGTTGAAATATTACAATAAATTCACCTTCATTATCAATATCATGGCTAAATTCAGATCGATACGTCATTAATATTGCTTTGTAAATTCTCTCGCTCCTCAATTTCACTCCCTAGTTTAGAAATTTGTCTCTCTAAAATTAATCAAATTTAGTAAATTGCAAATATAGAGATATTTAATTTTTGAAGCTAATAATAGAAAAGATCATGCTCAATCCCTTTAATTGAAGAGCGAGTGAATTGTTTGAAATTTTTATTTTTTTTTTAAAAAAGCCACCTCTATGTTTTCACACTCGGTGCTCCATGAGCATGGTGCACCTAGCTATACCGTGTAGACCAATGTCATAGCTACTGTTTAATTTCTTTGGTTCCAATAATATATACTCCCTCCATCCCTCTTTTTTTGCTCCATTATTTGACTTTGCACAGTCTCCAAGACGCTTCTTAGAACGTCTATAACTTTATTTCTATACACGTAAAAATTATAAAAGCATCACTACTAGAAAACAGATCATTTTCGACGGAAAAAAAATCCGTCAGAAACAATCTGTTTTCCGTTGGAAAACCCGTTTCCGAGACAAATTCTGTCGGAACTTGTTGTTGGAAAAGGTTTTGTAGGTAAATCGGCCTTTTCCGACGGAAACAATTTTACGATTGAATTTCTGACGAAATTAAGTCATCGGAAGAGATTTTCCGGCCCGGGAAAATTCCGACAGACTCAATTCCGCCAGAAATTTCTAATGGAAATTCCGTCTGAATTGAAAAGACTACAATCAAATTAAAAAAAAATACGCCGCACCACCACTGGCACGGCGTATCACCATTTACCACCTCCAACCACCCTATAACCCATCGTCAACCCCATCCCCACCCAACTGCCCGAAACACCACCACCACACTCTAATTGAACCACCCCACCACCCACCTTAACCGAACCACCCCACAACTTAACCTAACAGAACCAGACCCACCTCCTAACCCTAACCGAACCAGACCCCACCACCTTAACCCAACCCACCTAACCCTA